TATTTGGGCCCATTAAAAAAAAACAAAAAAACAAAAAAAAACACAACCGCGACCCGATATTTCGTATTTTTCGGTCGGTCGATGAGGACGCCACAGAAATACTTTCAGTCCATTTGCTTTGTATGATGTTCTGAATGGCAGTATCGAAAGGACGAGGTTTTCTTTCATGGCATTAATGCCGCGGGGCATTTCACGCGCGCCTGCTTAATTAGTGTCATTTAGAGGGGAAATCTGTTAGGAAACGCTATATATACAGTGGCATACGAACGCAGACAGACTGTTTTTTGCTCGTTATGGAACAATACAGACTCCCAGGGGACATACTGAGTAGTGTAGTTACATGGAAATGGCGTGAATAACCGCGATAAAACAACGCAATTACACGGCGATAGAGCAGTAACGGTCTGCGGATTGGAGAACCAACTATGCAATGACGCCATGTTCGAATAGACAGGAAGCATTCTAAAACGCTTCCGTGGTTTGAATAGATAGAAACAGTCAGACATTGGGTAAATGCATAGATCACAAACAGGCTACATGCTGGCCACGATTTGTCTTTTTACGTCCCGATGTAAATCACAAGAATTCAATTTAATAGGTATGCTTAATCATATTCCAATATAAAACATTATCGAGTTTCTCGCACGCACACTGCGCCTCTTTGTTTGTTGTTAAACATAGATCAAGATATTACAACTTTCCTATCATACGTGTGAACGGAACATACGTTGCCCTAAAAGTACAACATGCTATGACTTTCTACTTGAAATGTTATCGTTGTCACAAGTAGTACCGGGATTCGAAGGTTCAAAATACTCCAGTCACCATGAGTGTGATTCAGTCTATTTTCCGAGCTTTCTGTTCATTGGCCAAGCGCAAAACCAACAGTGGAATAAAACAGAATATTTTCAATTTGAATTAGTTGAATATCGCAATTATTTGCGAATTTGAAACCATTTCAAAAATATTATGAGATGACACACGATTATGAAAACCACACTCAGAGCTTTTCGTATACACGGGTATTCGCCTACAGTAGCTCAATTATAGAGCGAGTGGCTATTGCTTAGTGTCGCTGTGCATTCGGGTTTATGTAAATCGTGAAGTTTGGCTCAGTGTAAACTCAGACAATTCTGAGGTGTAAAACAAGTCCCCGGGCCAGGGAACAAGCAACAAATAATCGTCGGTTCGAAATTAGCATATACATGTACAATGCAAAAATGACCACGTTAAGTCATGGTCCATTCAACGTGTATTTTCCGTTCTCTGACACAATATAAAAAATAGATAGTCTAGTAAATATACACAAAACGTAACATTCAAACATTGATGGCGGGTTGTTTAGTGCTTACCTGTTCGTGTGCGAACCCGGCGTTCAAGACGTTATCTGCGACAAACGGCATGATCACCAGCCCGATCAACAAATCACTGAACGACAAATTCAACAGAAAAATTGAAGCTATGGTGTGAAGTTTAGTTGTAGCAGCCACCACTATAATGACGGTCAAATTGCCCATAATTGCTGTCATTGAGAATAATAGCATAATTGAAAACAGGCACGTCCGTGTTGCCGCACTCGCCTGCGTATCTTGGGCATAGGAACACTCTACGCCACTGTTTGTTGGGAACTCCACGTCCGTAGTGGCGCTGCTGTTATTGTTGAATAACAGGGAACGGAGGAATATATCACCGACGTCCGTTCGCATAGCTTTCATTGTCCTATTCGATTCCCTGTGATTTAGTTGTAGGTATCGAGAATGTGCGCGTCTTTATCGAATATCTCGCCGTCATATCAACCGTTCCATATGTTTCCCGCGCAAAAAATACCGTCTGCATTGGTTTCCCAAGTCACTTTGAGTATTGAACGTAGGTCGTCACAGTAAGAACACGTGATATGGTCACGTGATGTTGAATCCATCTCCTATTGCAGAGGATAACCATCTTATTGCCCGGATGTTATTGGAATATATCGCAGGGTTTATGTGCCAACTAATTTAGGGAATTGTTCCATTTATGTTAAATCAGAAAATCTCAGTTATTGCAATAATTCTCAATCTAAAACGCTACACTCGAAAGGAGAAAACTCCCGAGTCTTATTTAATGCATCGTATCCATTACAACGTCGTGATATATCTCCGTCAGATTTTGTATGAACATATTACTGTTCAGTTCTGTACGATTGGCGCCACTTCCCGGTGTGCAATGTGTGTTCGTGTGTTTGGGCGCAACATATATACACCTATTGCTACGCAACAGCCGTATTGGTGGTTTGATCTAGCGCCGTGAATCGTATCTCTGGAAAGTAGTAGCCCGATTTTGACTATTTGTATATGTTGACTTTATCGACGCTAAACAGAATAAACTAATTCACCTTGTCATTCTACTACTCTACCCATGATTCCATCAGACGTGATTCAAGATTGATTTTAAAAGAGGTACATAATGACATTTTGATCAATTGCCAACTCACAAGGTCGCATTTATAATGAACAAAGCTATTACACTGATGTAGTATTTTGCAGATTCGTAAACAACTACCAAATGCACGTGACTTAACTTAATCAATCTATGGAAGCATGGTGTAATACTATAAATGCGAAACCCCGGATATGAATGTCTTTGTTTATTTCAAACATCAACGTAATTAAATGTTTTGCATCACAGAGCATGGAATATAGGTTATGTTGAAAAACATCATATATGTTTACCTCATGCGCAAAGTAGGACGAGTATTTAACACGTGGCTGTGAAAATAGAGCAGAAATTGTGAAAACAAAATATTAACATTTGATCATGATTCTACTTCACATATGTTTGATTTCCCAAGCGAGATGTGTTTTTTGTAAATACTCACAGAATGGCTGTCGTTCAGCATAACGCTATGTGGTAAAACTAAAATATTCCATTCTACGTAGATACAATTTCTAAACTACAAAATATATGGTGAGAATGGGATAAAAACTATTTTCCTATCAATTACGTTTTTTATATATTTTGCACTACTATCAATTTATCTGCGGTTATTTTGAGCTGAGCAATCATTTACTCTGAGAACGTGAGCTATTCATATGCATAACCTATTCCAGAAACGTTTCCATGGAGCTCAATTAAATGAGTTACTGAACAAGGTCACCTCACCAAGATAAATTTGAAGAAATGGTGTTTTTATTATGTAAATCAGTGCCAAATTATTCTTATTTCACAAACAAACATAGGATACGCCATGGAAACTTTTTTGTTATTTTCCTACTTTATTCAGTCATGAGTGATATATCATAGTTTCATGCATCTGTCAACGTAACGTCATAAGTCACAGCGTGCCGTAATTTTGCAGTATTGCACTGGGTGTTTTCATCCTATCATATTAAGAAACGCGAATTCCAAATAGGTAACGGTTACGCGCGTAAGCGTCCTCTAATAATAAAAAACAAACATGACTGCCCCAAGGGTTTGACCGGGCCCCACACAAAGAATTTCGATAAATATATTCTAAACGTTTTGGATTTCGGCATTCCAATGAAGAATTCCTGGGAGGAAAAGATGTATAATAATAAGGTTATTACGAGGATACTGCAAAGTATGTGTGTCGGTCGAT